GGAACATCTACTTTGAATTTGAAAGAGAAGGTTCGCAAACATATTTATTCTGATTCAGATGGAGAAATGCACTGGAGTACTGATGTGTATCATGCACCTGAATTTACATATGGGAATGTTCATTTATTATCAAAAACAAGTCATTTATGGATATTATTAGGGGAGCCGTGCCGTTCCAGTCTAGTCTCCCTTTCGATCCACAGGGATCAGGATCAAAAGAGTGCGCATTCCCTTTTTGTCAAGCGAAGATCTATTTCCAACCTCTCAGAAACTAATGATCGGGCGAGACAAAAAATCTTTAGTGCGCATTTTTCTGGTCAAAAAGAAGATAGGATTGCTGATTATTCAGACCTCAATCGAATCATATGTACTGATCATTCTAATCTCGTATATCCGGCTATTCTACCTATTCTAGCCGAGAATTCGGATTTTTTGTCAAATTTATTATCAAAGAGGCGAAGAAATCAATTCATCATTCCACTCCAATCGATTCAAGAACGCAAGAAGGAACTAATGCCCTGTTCAGGTATCTCGATGAAAATCCCCACAAATGGTATTTTCTGTGGAAATAGTATTATTGCTTATTTCGACGATCCTCGGTACAGAAGAATGAGTTCGGGCAGTACTAAATATGGGACTCTAGAAATGCATTCAATCGTGAAAAAAGAGGATTTGATTCAGTATCGAGGAGTGAGGGAATTTCGACCAAAACACCAAAAGAAAGTAGATCGATTTTTTTTCATTCCCGAAGAAGTGCATATCTTACCCGGATCTTCTTCCATTTCCATAATGGTACGGAACAATAGTATCATTGGGGTAGATACACAAATCACCTTAAATATAAGAAGCCGAGTAGGCGGGTTGGTCAGGGTGGAGAAAAAAAAAAAAAGAATTGAACTGAAAATCTTTTCTGGAGATATATATTTCCCTGGAAGAGCAGATAAGATATCCCGACATAGCGGCGTTTTGATACCACCAGGAACAAGAAAAACAAATGACAAGGAATCCAAAAAAGTGAAAAATTGGATCTATGTCCAACGGATTACGCCGAGCAAGAAAAAGTTTTTTGTCTTGGTTCGACCTGTCGTCACATATGAAATAATGGACGGTATAACTTTGGCCACACTTTTCCCCCCCGATCTATTGCAGGAAAGAGATAATGTGCAACTTCGAGTTGTCAATTATATCCTTTATGGAAATGGCAAACCAATTCGAGGAATTTCTGACACAAGTATTCAATTAGTTCGGACGTGTTTAGTTTTGAATTGGAACCAAGACAAAAAAAGTTCTTCTAGTGAAGCAGCCCGCGCTTCCGTTGTTGAACTAAGGACAAACGATTTGATTCGTCATTTCCTAAGAATCGACTTCGTAAAATCCCCAATTTCGTATATCGGAAAAAGGAACGATCCTTGGGGTTTAGGATTGCTCGCTGATAATGGATTAGATTGGACCAATATCAACAATCCCTATTCCAAGGCAAGAATTCAACAAACCCTTAACCAAAATCAAGGAACCATTCATACATTTTTGAATAGAAATAAGGGATGTCAGTCGTTGAGTATTTTGTCATCATCCAATTGTTCTCGAATGGATCCAGTCAACGGTGCAAAATATCACAACGTCATACAAGAATCAATTCAAGAGGATCCTCTAATTCCAATTAGGAATTCATTGGGTCCTTTAGGAACATCCCTTCCAATTGCGAATTTTTATTCATTTGATCGGTTACTAACTCATAATCAGATCTTAGTAACTAACTATTTGCAACTTGACAATTTAAAACAGCCCTTTCAAGTATTAAAATTGAAATATTATTTAATTGCGGAAAATGGGAAAATTTATAATCCAAATCCACGCAGTAAGATTCTTTTGAATCCATTGAATTTGAATTGGTATTTTCTCCACCACAATTATTGTGCAGAGACATCTAAAATAATGAGTCTTGGACAGTTTATTTGTGAAAATGTCTGTATAGCCAAAAAAAGACCCCCCCTCAAATCGGGTCAAGTTATCCTTGTTCAAGTTGATTCTGTAGTAATACGATCAGCTAAGCCTTATTTAGCCACCCCGGGAGCAACTGTTCGTGGCCTTTATGGAGAAACTTTTTACGAAGGAGATACATTAGTTACATTTCACTATGAAAAATCGAGATCCGGTGATATAACACAAGGTCTTCCAAAAGTAGAACAGGTATTAGAAGTGCGTTCCGTTGATTCAATATCGATGAATCTAGAAAGGAGGGTTGAGGGTTGGAACAAATGTCTAACAAGAATTCTTGGAATTCCTTGGGGATTCTTGATTGGTGCTGAGCTAACTATAGCGCAAAGTCGCATCTCTTTGGTTAATAAGATCCAAAAAGTTTATCGATCCCAGGGAGTGCAGATTCATAATCGGCATATCGAAATTATTGTACGTCAAATCACATCAAACGTGTTGGTTTCAGAAGACGGAATGTCTAATGTTTTTTCACCTGGAGAACTTATTAGATTGTTGCGAGCAA